GAAGCGGAAGTGAAAGTGAAAGAAGGTGGACATGAGGAGAAAGCACAATCTGGAGCAAGCTCTGAATTCCTTTTAGAAGCCGTACTTCTCTTTTGTCCTCACATCTCTGGAGCAAGCTCTGAATTCCTATTTAGAGAAAAAAGCCTTCAGAATTTTGGGATAAGCTAACATACAATTAATTATATAGAGGTGCTCTGCCAGAGAAACTCAAGTCAGTCAAACACGTGTTTGGTATTTACTATACGAACAGCATGATGCAAGGTCCTTAAAGTCACAACTTTTAAACCAGAATCTATAAATTATTTTATTGCACCTCAGTAATTTTCTAACAAAACGGTTACTTTCACCTCTTTCTCTTCTGAAAGCATCTGGTCCAGCCAAAGACATCTCTCAATAGTCAACAACTCCTAAAGGAGGTCCCAGAACAGCCCTCAGTTGTTCCCTATCTACCTAATTCTGTATTTTGTTCATATAGCTGTTTAGTCCTATAACTGAAACCATTTCATAAGATCATTCTTGTATCCTCCCTTCCCAATCACTCCATTACCATCCTTTTCCTTCTGAAATGTCTGCAATGAGCTGAGAATAGAGTTTGGTCCGAAGTCCCAAGTTCATGGATCTAAGAAAAGTCTTTCAAAAGTAGTGGAAGATGGTAGTTTTTATGTAATAAAGATTGGAACTTAATCTTGAAGATGAAATAATTTTAGATTTAAAAACCTTTTTTTGATGTACCAATTCATCTGTATTTTACAAGCAGGCCCATAATTGCCATCTGTAATGTAAACCTCCTGGATCCTCAGTTGATGACTTTTCAACAACACCCAGAGTTTTTGGCAGAACAAGTAAAAACCAGTATTTTATTGCACATTACCTTTTTACTTACCTGCTAATTAAAACAATTTCTCCAATAACTACACCCTCAGATCTCTTATCCCTCCCAGTTTGATCATACTTTTAGAATTTAAATAAGAAAAAGCAAAAGGCAGAAACAAAAAATTACACATGACAAACAATCCTCTACCCTAGCTAAGATGCTTATGAGCACCAACCTCAATTTTATTTAATTAATTAATTTATTATTAATTTTATTTATTTATTTGTTTAGAGACAAACATTCACTTTGTCACCTAGGCTGGAATGCAATGGCTTCAGCCTCCCAAACCTCTGGGAGTACAGATGTGAGTCACCATGGCTGGTTAGGTCTCAGTCTTTGTTTACTTGCAAGTCAGCAGCTGAAACCTGAGACCACATCTCACCCCCAGAAACACTGGAGGTTACTAAAAGAAAATTCATACCAGCACTTTTAATTCTGTCTTCCTTACTCTTCAAGTACTGCAGAGTGAAAGAAATACTGTCCCACTACCCACCTCCAGACCCAACTCTAGTATCTCAAGCTAGAAGGTGATTTGGGCCATGCTAGAAGCTCACCTTTGCTATTTTCATGCCATTCGGTCCCCAAAACATGCGCTTTCATGCTCATCATCATTTCGTCTCCCAAAAACATTTTCAAATTTTGCAGGTTAATCAGCTACAGCATCCTCATTCTTTATCACTATGAACTACAATATTTTTGTCATTTATCCAGGATTAGGGAGTTCTAGGACCTTCTTTTCCTCTTTACCAAAAATCTTGACATCACCCACATCCACTTGGACAACATTAAGCTGCACATAGTTCCATGGCCTCGTTTCCCTTACTTCTAGCTCGCCAAATCTCCAAATGGCTATTACCTTCAAGCTTGATTTGAAGTGAATGGCTCCCATTCTAAAATCTCAAATCCCCATGTCCCATTTACTAACCACAATTTCATAATTTTCCAGCTCTTACTCCTTTCCTCCTATTTCTAACATCCTCAAACAATGCATTCACTCTTTCTGTCTTTACCAGTCCCTCTGGGCTTCACTGTCACCTTCCCATGACTGTAGATACCTAATTGCTCTCTCCACAGCATCTTCAAGTCCATTGTGCAGCTCCTACCTTGCCGCTGCAGACTACCTGATCCTACCAGCACCAAACTGCAGATTAAGTCGTATCTGGCATGCTCAACTCCTGGACCTGGGCTCTGAATGCTGCTGAAAAATACAAGGAAACTAAGGAGCCTCTTGCCCTACAGACATGTGGTTCTCAGTATCATCTACTAACAATTTTGCTCAGTAATCCCACAAACCTGTTCTTCACAGGTCTCCTTTTTCTTCTCAGCTGCTTTTTCAAATTTTCGCAGCTTTCCAACACCCTGCAACAGCCTACCCATTCACTGTCATCAGAATGCTTTCTTTCCACATTAAGAGAGAGAATCATATGGCTATCAAGGTATTCCCTCTATTCTGTCTCCCACCAACCACCTACAAGCTCGTACTCCTCTCCTTGTACCCAGGAAGAAGGAAACATCTGTTCTTATATCTAAGGACAGTAGATTTAATCCATCTACTTGTTGCAGTGAACTCCTAAACCCACACTCCATTTGGGACTTTGTTCTATTAATTTAATCTAACAATTTCACAATCTGAAATCTATCAAACATAGGTAATTATGTGAGTGGGAAAATAAAAACTATCTACAAAAATATTAATGGTAGCACTATTTACAACTTAAAAATGTGTTTGTTTTTAAGCCAAACTGCCAAGAACAGGATTATATTAACTATTGCACACAATATCTGCCCCCACCTTCTTCGGAACCACTCAACATGAAGACAAAAACACTTAAGTTCTCATTCTAAAAAACGCATCTTTCTCACCTATGTAATAAATTACGTATTACCCTTCACAAAGGTAAAAGGATGAAGATTCTTGCCCAACAAACATTATGTTAGTTTCTCAATAATATATTTTCCTATTTTCAAATGTTATTTTGATTTTTTTTTTTTTTTTTTTTGGAAACAGAGTCTCACTCTGTTGCCCAGGCTGGAGTGCAGTGGCTCAACCTCAACTCATTGCAACCTCCGCCTCCTGGGTTCAAGCAATTATCCTGCCTCAGCCTCCTGAGTAACTGGGATTACAGGCATGCACCACCACACCTGGCTGAGTTTTGTACATTTAGCAGAGATGAGGTTTCACCATATTGGCCAGGCTGATCTCAAACTCCTAACCTCAGGTGATCTTCCTGCCTCAGCCTCTCAAAGTGCTGGGATTACAAGTTTGAGCCACCTCACCTAGCCGTTTGATAATTTTTTAACTTATACTTTCAGCAAGTGAAGTAACAGGATCGAAAGTAATGTTTTTTGTTTGTTTGTTTGTGTTTTAAGCAAGTGGCCAAGTCAGCAACGTCTGTGCTTAAATATTACATGATAGGTTAAATGTCTGGGCTTCCAAATAAGCTACTTTCTCAACAGGGAGGAACTTGAGAGAACTAAGTCTGACAGATTAGTACCATTGATACATGCTTTATTAATGATATTTGTAAAAGCAAGTGAGAAAAAGGGTTTTTTACACTACTGTAGTTCCATGCAAGAGCCAACAGTATATTTCCGACACCTCCATTAAATTAATTATATAAATATTATTTACATATTTTATCCCAAAAGTTTAATATCTGAATTTTTCTTCTCTGAACACTTTTGATAAATATTCACTAACATTTAGATGTCTTTACCTTCACTGTTGTATATCTAAGTTCGAGTTATGTGGTCATAAAAAGTGTAAAACTGCTATAAAAGATTTGTACAGCATATCAAGACTGAGTATGACTGAATAACTCTATAGCTGAATTAAGGCTTTGTCAAGGCAAGGGAACGAACACTATAAATATTTAGAACGAACTTTGATAGTATGATACAGCCCTCAGCATCTTTCTCAAATATTTAAGGCAAATAAGTTCTTTCCAAGTTAATTTCTTGTGGAATATCAAATATAATCTTTTTTTTTTTTTGAGACAAGGTTCTGACTCTGTTGCCCAGGCTGAAGAGAAGTGGTGCAAACACGGCTCACTGTAGCCTCAACTTCCTGAGAACAAGCAATCCTCCCACCTCAGCCTCCTGAGTAGCGAGGACTACAGACCCAAGTCACCATGCCTAATTTAAAAAAAGAGAATTAGTGTAGACGTGAGACCTCAGGATGTTGCCCAAACTGGTCTCAAACCCTTGGCCTCAAGCACCTCCTAAAGTGCTGGGATTACAGACATGAGCCACCATACCACAATCAAACACAATTTCAACAGCACCTAAAGCCCCTGCAAGATCTTGCCTACCTACGCGTCTCATCTTTGTCTTGCCTCACTGTTCAGTGTTCTCTATGCACCAACAAAAAGGCTCCTTTCAGTTCTTGAGCATGTTGTGCTCCCTCTGCCTGGAATTCTCTCTCTCCCTTCCTCCTGCTCCTTTTGATTGGTTAACTCGGTCTCAACCTTCAATCTCCATTAGATGTCACCTCCTAGAAAAAAACTTTCTGATGACCTTTCCTAGATTTGGTCAGATCTTACTACAGAGCAGTTATACAGTATGTAAATATGCCTGATTGTATGACTTAATAACATTTGCTTCCCCTGCTAAATCCATAGAGTAGAATAAACTTGTTTTCTTCCCGTTTCCAGTACCTACCATCTACCTAGCACATAGTGGGAACGCTATAAATATATGTAGAATGAATGCTTCTTAAAAATATATAAGCCCATTGATCTTACAAGTCTGAATAACCTTTCTCACAAAATTACTGTGTAAATAAGAATTATTTTACAACCAGTAGAAAGAGCACACACTTTAGTATATGATAGGTTTGAAGTACCTTTTGCCTTTACTACCAATGTAAACCTGAGAAAATTGCATTTGCTAACCCCTTTCTGCTTGTTTGAAGAGATAATATCTGCTCCGCTAGTGTTGTGAAGAGGATTACAGGGAAGATGATATATGGAAGAAAGCAGCTTATGTAGCGAAAGGACATAAACATGTTGACCCATAAACATGACTTCTCAACTCCCTCCCCAACCCACCAAAAAAAAATTAAGGAATGAGTAAAAGTAGAATAAACCTGTAATGGACATCCAAAGGCCTCCTCAATATCCATTCAACTCCTTCCTCTGCCTCTTCATATGGAATCCCTAAGGTTTGCAAGAGGAGAATTATTTTACAGGTGGAAAGGAAGGCTGAGTGACTGGATAAGCCATCAGGATAAGAGATTCCCCTCCAATGGGAGGAAAGAGGGGTTACCTAGCCTGTGTCCTGCACTTTGGCCTTAATGGTTGTGGGTTCAGGGTGGTCCACTCAGAGTAAAGCTTGGGACTTTAATTCAATACCTGTGGAAAGTCTCTCCCTCCTTCTGGATGTGAATGAGGAAGCAGACAGCTCTGGTCTCTGCTGGTTAGCCTTCTCACACCCACAAGCCTAGGAATGTGCTTGATACAGAAAAAGGTGGTGCTTAGACAATGTCAGAGACGGAGGCAGAGCCCTGATTAAACTAAACCTAAACCTCATTATCAATAATATATTTTTTATTACATGAACAAATAACTATCCTTTTACGGCTTAAGCCAAGCTTGTCCAAGCCATGGCTCACATGCAGTCCAGGATGGCTTTGAATTCGACCCAACACAAATTCGTAAACTTTCTTAAAACATTATGAATCTTTTTGCGATTGTTTTTTTTTAGTTTATCAGCTATCTTTAGAGTGAGTGTATTTTATGTGTGGCACAAGACAATTCTCCCTCCACTGTGGCCCAGGGAAGCCAAAGGTTGGACTTCGTTGGCTTAAGCCAAAACAAAGTATTTTTGTTTCTTACAACTGAAATAATCCTAATTTTAGGCAGACCTATTAAAGTGCTTGAGATACTTCAATGTAAGCATCTATAAGCCATTTGCATTAAAAACTGAATGTAAACATATAGCCTTCAGTTAATTTTATGATTTTTACCTGATTATTTTAATGTAGTGAATACACACTAACAATTTGTTTAGAGTTTGAAGTAATATTCATAAATTTTATCCAATAAATTTTAGGTCATGAACTAAAAAAAATTGTAATAAATTAGACATTTATACATTACCCAAGAAAAACTGCAAGTGCACAGGTTTTAACATTTTTCTGCTTGCCAAAGATAAAATCATTTTCTTTATGATTTAACCATTTTTGTCCTAGTGGTTACATGCTATTTTAGTTCTTCATAGGCACTGATTCATGACTTTGTTTAAATACTTTATGTATGTAAAGTTAGATTTAGAAAGTCCTAGTCCTATCCACTGTTTTTCTTGTTTGTTTCTTTTTGGATACAGCCTTTTGGGAGAACAGCAACTAAACAGGGCAATAATAATACTTTCATAGACTCCAGAATGGTATTTCTAAGTTGTTATTAAAATCAGCCTTTCATTATTCATTAAGCTTTTAGAAAATGTTTCGTTCTTCCAAGATTGTGTAATGTATAATTATTTGAATTATAAGGGCACTGTGCTTAAATCTGACATATTTTGGCAACATATTTTGATTGGTAAGTATTTAGTTAGCAAATGCAACTCATTCTTAAGCCAAAGAACATGTAACTAAAAGTCTCAGTTACAAAAACCTAAGACACCTGTGTGTATGGTTTCACCAAAGGAAAGGTGGCAGTTTTACAAGACACTTATGATTCCAATGCCAATTTCAAATTATGCCCAAACTAAACGCTAAATGTAGACTTCTCATGTAGAAGCATAGGGCAGACTGTTGACCCAAGATTCAATGAAACAGGAACTACAGAAGACTGAAATAACTGGTGAGGGACATTCAGTTGTGGCTATTTGTTTAGAAACTGTTGATGCTGCTTTAATATTCTATTTTCTAACACATATATGAAGAAGTTCTTCTTTTTAAGCCATATTTAATTCTGAATTTTGTGGACACTGCTTTTCTAAAATAAAACATTTTAAAACAGCATATGATTCTCATTGATCACTCCAGAATTCAGAAACTCCTAATGAGTGCCCTTATTTTCATGGCAAATATAGTTATTTTCACAGGCTCAATAAGAATGTCTCCTCTTTTATTACCAGAATGTCATTGAATAATTCTATTTAGTAACCAAGGCTATCCCTGCAGTATCATATTTAAAAATAATTTTCATTTAATCAGGAATAACAAACAACTGTTAAGGAATAAGGAGCGACTGTATGTGGAATAAATGCCTACACACTCCTCCCAAGAAAACCGGCCTAAGACCTAGCTGATAGGGTCCCAGATGTACAGATGATGAGAAAGGTCACTTTCTGGCAAGACAGGAATCTTAGTAAATTTTGGGAGCCTCAACCAGACAGATAATCACTCAATTATATACATAGGTACTAAAGATACAAATCAGGTGGAGAGAGTTTCTTCATTTTGTTTTTCTAGCCTCAATAAACCACTTTTTAAAGTCAAATCCCATCTTTTTTATGAAATTTTCAGAAGAAAAGTTAATTTTATCACCTTGATCAGTAGTTGCTCAACAGATCATGGTTCTAGATTTGCAAACTCAAGGAAGCCTATATGGTTAATGAACACCCTCACTGCAGGTTTTTTGTTTGTTTTTGAATGAAGCATTACCTTTGAAAATTATTTATGATCACAGGAAAGAAACTCTAAAGGAAAAACTGTAAAATCCTTTAAAATAGGCAAAAAAGATCTTGGGTGTTTGCCCATTGGAATGATGCGCTTAAGTTATAGAAAACTGGTAATAATGCAAGTGATTCTTGTTCATGGCATTACAAATAAATTTTGTCTGCTAAAGAATATATACCTCAGTAAGTTAAATGCCTGTACCTCCAATTCTCATTTGAACCATCTTTATTTAGCATGCAAACATAAACAAAGAATCTTTGGAATCCATAAATGTCTCCTTATTCTAGATTAATTTCGGTGCTGAACTGATTAAGTAAACTTTGTAAACAGAGTAGACATTGCTTAAAATAATTCTGGGTTTTGACAAGTTAGAGGTAACTAAAATGTTCACAAATAGGCGTTAGTTAAGTAACAGCATTATCCATTGCAAAGATGCTGCACCATTACAAAGATGCTGCAGCCATTAAAAGAGATATAAAACGAGCCTAATTAGGCTATAACCCCATCTCTGTTAAGAACAATGCATACTCAGATGCATACGGATGCACAGAAAAGTGTCTCTAAGGACATAAATCAGTACGTCACAATTACTCTTTATGGATTTATAATTTTAACTTTCTTTGCAGGGTATGCGTCCGTGGGTGGGGGGAGTTTTTTGGTTCATTGATTATTGTTACTGCTGATGGTGTTTGCCTTCCTTTTCTTTCTAATTTTTGGGAAAGCAATTTTATTAATAGTAATCAAACATATTTGCAGGAGGAACCACTAGATTGAATTCAAAACATAAATTCCATCTTTCAAATGAGAATACATTCACTAATAAAATGGAGGAAAATTCCCCTAGATTCCTGGCTTGATCCGACTCATCCTTCAGGTATTAATTTACATATTTACTTTCTTAAGCCCTCCCTCAGCTCTGCCCCCACTGCCATACCTGACCTAGGCAAGGTTAAGTCCCTTTCATACAGCCCTATACCAACCACCTAAAACTTTTCATAGTTGTAATTTGCATGAATATCAGATTAATGCTTCTTCCTCCCACTAGATCTAATTCCTCTATGTATCTTATTCACTATTGTGTCCCAGGTGCGCAATATATATGCAGGTTGCGTCCTAAGAGAGATTCAAAATATATGTATAGCTCTCCTGCCAGGAACATTAAATGACTCTTAAAAATGGCAGAATAAAAAGTATTTCATATCTTATCAAAGATAAACAACCTGAATACAATTAACTTAAGTCTGTTTATAAGTCTGATTTTAGGAGAGACGGATAATACTTGTCTTTCATTCACAGAAACAGATTTTTAGCATATACAATATTTTAAAGGATATAATTTGGCCTATGATGTGTCTGCATGAAACAAATCATTGTAATAGAATTTGATTGTACCATATAATGTAATATTAGAACAAAGGAGTCACATTGTCCGAATATACATTATGTGCAGAGCATTCAAGTGCATTCACCTATAATTCAATAAGCCCAAAATCATGAAAATATTGCACTTGATATTTGCAACATTGATTATAAAATCTGAATAAGCACCAAAGAGTACTTCAAAGTCTTGAAATGTCAATATTTGTAGGCTATGCAAATATGTTTAAAATAAATTACAGCATATATTCTATTTGGGGAGCTACCCAGAAGCCAAACAAAAGTACACCAGAATCCTGTTATAGTACAGTACCATCACACAGGAGAAGCAAGCATCAACCTATCTTATAAAATGTTCTTCCAGTCACTATAATAGAAATTCACATTGTCCATGATGAATTTCTATTATATTAATGTTATTACTGGATATTATAACTATATATTATTCTGCATATTTTAATATTAATTGTTATGGTTTGAATTTTAGGAAGGGCATAAATGCCCCACTGTCTCAGCTTCCCTTTCTAGGTAATGCAGGTTAAAGAGTAAATCTGTGTCTTGGCATCCTTGATTTTGGCACTATGAATTCACTGAAGAAAATGAGAAAACTCCAATACTCATGAAAATTCACTTCTCTATCTCTAAAAATAAACATACCCCTAGCTCCAGATAAGTCAGTGAAGAAATTTCTCAGGGTACAGACTTCGGGGAAAAGCAGACAGCAGGAGACAGTACTAAGTATTTATTTGATCAATCAATTTGAGATAGAAAATACTTACTAGTCATCCTCGAGACATTTGCAATTTAGATGAGAATTATATAGCTCTAAAGACATAAAAAGGGAAAAGAGACTCAATTTTACAAATCAGTAAATATATTACTGACAAATTAATTTGTCTGAAATGATTATGTCGTTTCTAGCATAGCATTCATCTACATACCGTCCTTTGTTATCATGAAGGACTAAATATATGATTATTGTGACTTTAATCCTCATGACTTTAATCCTCCAGAGACAGCCCAAAGCAAATGAAGAACTGGACACTCCTACACCGTCACACAAACCTTTCAAAAGGAGAAGGTAAAAGGCTTTCTTTTTCTGAAAAAGGCTAGTGAATCATGAAGGGAAGGAAAAGACAAAATGTCCTTCATGAGGTTTCCCAACGCAATTCCTACCCTTAAAAAAGAAATCCATAATAAAATATAGATTTCACATATACCAACTGACAAGAAGAAAAACATCCAAATGGGATCTGAAATAAAACCTCCATTAAAAAGGAAGATGGAGGTCAATGTTAAAAGCCTTTTTATCACTCTTTCAATATGTTTATATTTAGCAACATTAAATCATAGTATTTTCTGAATGCTTCCAAAGGTATTTTTCATAACAAAGTATAGTTATCAATTACTGTTCACAGTATAAGGAAAATACAGAAATGCTCTACATAAGACAAGAGAACTTAAGTTATGCTTTTAGAGGGAAGTGTGAAANACCACAATCAAACACAATTTCAACAGCACCTAAAGCCCCTGCAAGATCTTGCCTACCTACGCGTCTCATCTTTGTCTTGCCTCACTGTTCAGTGTTCTCTATGCACCAACAAAAAGGCTCCTTTCAGTTCTTGAGCATGTTGTGCTCCCTCTGCCTGGAATTCTCTCTCTCCCTTCCTCCTGCTCCTTTTGATTGGTTAACTCGGTCTCAACCTTCAATCTCCATTAGATGTCACCTCCTAGAAAAAAACTTTCTGATGACCTTTCCTAGATTTGGTCAGATCTTACTACAGAGCAGTTATACAGTATGTAAATATGCCTGATTGTATGACTTAATAACATTTGCTTCCCCTGCTAAATCCATAGAGTAGAATAAACTTGTTTTCTTCCCGTTTCCAGTACCTACCATCTACCTAGCACATAGTGGGAACGCTATAAATATATGTAGAATGAATGCTTCTTAAAAATATATAAGCCCATTGATCTTACAAGTCTGAATAACCTTTCTCACAAAATTACTGTGTAAATAAGAATTATTTTACAACCAGTAGAAAGAGCACACACTTTAGTATATGATAGGTTTGAAGTACCTTTTGCCTTTACTACCAATGTAAACCTGAGAAAATTGCATTTGCTAACCCCCTTCTGCTTGTTTGAAGAGATAATATCTGCTCCGCTAGTGTTGTGAAGAGGATTACAGGGAAGATGATATATGGAAGAAAGCAGCTTATGTAGCGAAAGGACATAAACATGTTGACCCATAAACATGACTTCTCAACTCCCTCCCCAACCCACCAAAAAAAAATTAAGGAATGAGTAAAAGTAGAATAAACCTGTAATGGACATCCAAAGGCCTCCTCAATATCCATTCAACTCCTTCCTCTGCCTCTTCATATGGAATCCCTAAGGTTTGCAAGAGGAGAATTATTTTACAGGTGGAAAGGAAGGCTGAGTGACTGGATAAGCCATCAGGATAAGAGATTCCCCTCCAATGGGAGGAAAGAGGGGTTACCTAGCCTGTGTCCTGCACTTTGGCCTTAATGGTTGTGGGTTCAGGGTGGTCCACTCAGAGTAAAGCTTGGGACTTTAATTCAATACCTGTGGAAAGTCTCTCCCTCCTTCTGGATGTGAATGAGGAAGCAGACAGCTCTGGTCTCTGCTGGTTAGCCTTCTCACACCCACAAGCCTAGGAATGTGCTTGATACAGAAAAAGGTGGTGCTTAGACAATGTCAGAGACGGAGGCAGAGCCCTGATTAAACTAAACCTAAACCTCATTATCAATAATATATTTTTTATTACATGAACAAATAACTATCCTTTTACGGCTTAAGCCAAGCTTGTCCAAGCCATGGCTCACATGCAGTCCAGGATGGCTTTGAATTCGACCCAACACAAATTCGTAAACTTTCTTAAAACATTATGAATCTTTTTGCGATTGTTTTTTTTTAGTTTATCAGCTATCTTTAGAGTGAGTGTATTTTATGTGTGGCACAAGACAATTCTCCCTCCACTGTGGCCCAGGGAAGCCAAAGGTTGGACTTCGTTGGCTTAAGCCAAAACAAAGTATTTTTGTTTCTTACAACTGAAATAATCCTAATTTTAGGCAGACCTATTAAAGTGCTTGAGATACTTCAATGTAAGCATCTATAAGCCATTTGCATTAAAAACTGAATGTAAACATATAGCCTTCAGTTAATTTTATGATTTTTACCTGATTATTTTAATGTAGTGAATACACACTAACAATTTGTTTAGAGTTTGAAGTAATATTCATAAATTTTATCCAATAAATTTTAGGTCATGAACTAAAAAAAATTGTAATAAATTAGACATTTATACATTACCCAAGAAAAACTGCAAGTGCACAGGTTTTAACATTTTTCTGCTTGCCAAAGATAAAATCATTTTCTTTATGATTTAACCATTTTTGTCCTAGTGGTTACATGCTATTTTAGTTCTTCATAGGCACTGATTCATGACTTTGTTTAAATACTTTATGTATGTAAAGTTAGATTTAGAAAGTCCTAGTCCTATCCACTGTTTTTCTTGTTTGTTTCTTTTTGGATACAGCCTTTTGGGAGAACAGCAACTAAACAGGGCAATAATAATACTTTCATAGACTCCAGAATGGTATTTCTAAGTTGTTATTAAAATCAGCCTTTCATTATTCATTAAGCTTTTAGAAAATGTTTCGTTCTTCCAAGATTGTGTAATGTATAATTATTTGAATTATAAGGGCACTGTGCTTAAATCTGACATATTTTGGCAACATATTTTGATTGGTAAGTATTTAGTTAGCAAATGCAACTCATTCTTAAGCCAAAGAACATGTAACTAAAAGTCTCAGTTACAAAAACCTAAGACACCTGTGTGTATGGTTTCACCAAAGGAAAGGTGGCAGTTTTACAAGACACTTATGATTCCAATGCCAATTTCAAATTATGCCCAAACTAAACGCTAAATGTAGACTTCTCATGTAGAAGCATAGGGCAGACTGTTGACCCAAGATTCAATGAAACAGGAACTACAGAAGACTGAAATAACTGGTGAGGGACATTCAGTTGTGGCTATTTGTTTAGAAACTGTTGATGCTGCTTTAATATTCTATTTTCTAACACATATATGAAGAAGTTCTTCTTTTTAAGCCATATTTAATTCTGAATTTTGTGGACACTGCTTTTCTAAAATAAAACATTTTAAAACAGCATATGATTCTCATTGATCACTCCAGAATTCAGAAACTCCTAATGAGTGCCCTTATTTTCATGGCAAATATAGTTATTTTCACAGGCTCAATAAGAATGTCTCCTCTTTTATTACCAGAATGTCATTGAATAATTCTATTTAGTAACCAAGGCTATCCCTGCAGTATCATATTTAAAAATAATTTTCATTTAATCAGGAATAACAAACAACTGTTAAGGAATAAGGAGCGACTGTATGTGGAATAAATGCCTACACACTCCTCCCAAGAAAACCGGCCTAAGACCTAGCTGATAGGGTCCCAGATGTACAGATGATGAGAAAGGTCACTTTCTGGCAAGACAGGAATCTTAGTAAATTTTGGGAGCCTCAACCAGACAGATAATCACTCAATTATATACATAGGTACTAAAGATACAAATCAGGTGGAGAGAGTTTCTTCATTTTGTTTTTCTAGCCTCAATAAACCACTTTTTAAAGTCAAATCCCATCTTTTTTATGAAATTTTCAGAAGAAAAGTTAATTTTATCACCTTGATCAGTAGTTGCTCAACAGATCATGGTTCTAGATTTGCAAACTCAAGGAAGCCTATATGGTTAATGAACACCCTCACTGCAGGTTTTTTGTTTGTTTTTGAATGAAGCATTACCTTTGAAAATTATTTATGATCACAGGAAAGAAACTCTAAAGGAAAAACTGTAAAATCCTTTAAAATAGGCAAAAAAGATCTTGGGTGTTTGCCCATTGGAATGATGCGCTTAAGTTATAGAAAACTGGTAATAATGCAAGTGATTCTTGTTCATGGCATTACAAATAAATTTTGTCTGCTAAAGAATATATACCTCAGTAAGTTAAATGCCTGTACCTCCAATTCTCATTTGAACCATCTTTATTTAGCATGCAAACATAAACAAAGAATCTTTGGAATCCATAAATGTCTCCTTATTCTAGATTAATTTCGGTGCTGAACTGATTAAGTAAACTTTGTAAACAGAGTAGACATTGCTTAAAATAATTCTGGGTTTTGACAAGTTAGAGGTAACTAAAATGTTCACAAATAGGCGTTAGTTAAGTAACAGCATTATCCATTGCAAAGATGCTGCACCATTACAAAGATGCTGCAGCCATTAAAAGAGATATAAAACGAGCCTAATTAGGCTATAACCCCATCTCTGTTAAGAACAATGCATACTCAGATGCATACGGATGCACAGAAAAGTGTCTCTAAGGACATAAATCAGTACGTCACAATTACTCTTTATGGATTTATAATTTTAACTTTCTTTGCAGGGTATGCGTCCGTGGGTGGGGGGAGTTTTTTGGTTCATTGATTATTGTTACTGCTGATGGTGTTTGCCTTCCTTTTCTTTCTAATTTTTGGGAAAGCAATTTTATTAATAGTAATCAAACATATTTGCAGGAGGAACCACTAGATTGAATTCAAAACATAAATTCCATCTTTCAAATGAGAATACATTCACTAATAAAATGGAGGAAAATTCCCCTAGATTCCTGGCTTGATCCGACTCATCCTTCAGGTATTAATTTACATATTTACTTTCTTAAGCCCTCCCTCAGCTCTGCCCCCACTGCCATACCTGACCTAGGCAAGGTTAAGTCCCTTTCATAGAGCCCTATACCAACCACCTAAAACTTTTCATAGTTGTAATTTGCATGAATATCAGATTAATGCTTCTTCCTCCCACTAGATCTAATTCCTCTATGTATCTTATTCACTATTGTGTCCCAGGTGCGCAATATATATGCAGGTTGCGTCCTAAGAGAGATTCAAAATATATGTATAGCTCTCCTGCCAGGAACATTAAATGACTCTTAAAAATGGCAGAATAAAAAGTATTTCATATCTTATCAAAGATAAACAACCTGAATACAATTAACTTAAGTCTGTTTATAAGTCTGATTTTAGGAGAGACGGATAATACTTGTCTTTCATTCACAGAAACAGATTTTTAGCATATACAATATTTTAAAGGATATAATTTGGCCTATGATGTGTCTGCATGAAACAAATCATTGTAATAGAATTTGATTGTACCATATAATGTAATATTAGAACAAAGGAGTCACATTGTCCGAATATACATTATGTGCAGAGCATTCAAGTGCATTCACCTATAATTCAATAAGCCCAAAATCATGAAAATATTGCACTTGATATTTGCAACATTGATTATAAAATCTGAATAAGCACCAAAGAGTACTTCAAAGTCTTGAAATGTCAATATTTGTAGGCTATGCAAATATGTTTAAAATAAATTACAGCATATATTCTATTTGGGGAGCTACCCAGAAGCCAAACAAAAGTACACCAGAATCCTGTTATAGTACAGTACCATCACACAGGAGAAGCAAGCATCAACCTATCTTATAAAATGTTCTTCCAGTCACTATAATAGAAATTCACATTGTCCATGATGAATTTCTATTATATTAATGTTATTACTGGATATTATAACTATATATTATTCTGCATATTTTAATATTAATTGTTATGGTTTGAATTTTAGGAAGGGCATAAATGCCCCACTGTCTCAGCTTCCCTTTCTAGGTAATGCAGGTTAAAGAGTAAATCTGTGTCTTGGCATCCTTGATTTTGGCACTATGAATTCACTGAAGAAAATGAGAAAACTCCAATACTCATGAAAATTCACTTCTCTATCTCTAAAAATAAACATACCCCTAGCTCCAGATAAGTCAGTGAAGAAATTTCTCAGGGTACAGACTTCGGGGAAAAGCAGACAGCAGGAGACAGTACTAAGTATTTATTTGATCAATCAATTTGAGATAGAAAATACTTACTAGTCATCCTCGAGACATTTGCAATTTAGATGAGAATTATATAGCTCTAAAGACATAAAAAGGGAAAAGAGACTCAATTTTACAAATCAGTAAATATATTACTGACAAATTAATTTGTCTGAAATGATTATGTCGTTTCTAGCATAGCATTCATCTACATACCGTCCTTTGTTATCATGAAGGACTAAATATATGATTATTGTGACTTTAATCCTCATGACTTTAATCCTCCAGAGACAGCCCAAAGCAAATGAAGAACTGGACACTCCTACACCGTCACACAAACCTTTCAAAAGGAGAAGGTAAAAGGCTTTCTTTTTCTGAAAAAGGCTAGTGAATCATGAAGGGAAGGAAAAGACAAAATGTCCTTCATGAGGTTTCCCAACGCAATTCCTACCCTTAAAAAAGAAATCCATAATAAAATATAGATTTCACATATACCAACTGACAAGAAGAAAAACATCCAAATGGGATCTGAAATAAAACCTCCATTAAAAAGGAAGATGGAGGTCAATGTTAAAAGCCTTTTTATCACTCTTTCAATATGTTTATATTTAGCAACATTAAATCATAGTATTTTCTGAATGCTTCCAAAGGTATTTTTCATAACAAAGTATGTCACTTAAATTCATCTTCCTCATTAAGTAAAGTTATCAATTACTGTTCACAGTATAAGGAAAATACAGAAATGCTCTACATAAGACAAGAGAACTTAAGTTATGCTTTTAGAGGGAAGTGTGAAATATTTGAGAACTCATCAGAAATTGGTAAGAACTACAGATCTGAGGACAAGAGGGACAAATGGGGGAATGAGATTTGTAGGAAACTGTAGGGAATCTGGCTTGGTAGAAAAAGAAATAATCATATTAAATATTAAAATGAAGCCTCACAAAATAAAAAAGAAAAAGTCTGAATATGATGTAAAAACATTAGATTCTACCACAGATACAGAAAAATTGTCCTTGTATACAATTTAATACAAGTTGTGAGGTTATGAGTCAATAACTGAAGAACTATTTTCTAAATTATTCAACCACAATTTCTGTCTCTGAGTATAGTTTAGCTGGCATAAATATTGCTATCTGTAGCTTCATGTAATTTTTCAAAAATTGATAATTTAAAGCTATTTAGCTAAATATAATCAATCAAGAAATATTTAAGAGGTTTTAAAAGACTACTTCATCAAGAATTCTAAAATGTGAAAAAGATTTTTTAAGAAAAAAAGTATTTTTCAAAAACTATTGGTACTAACAGTTTGAATTTTCAGTTTCTTAGAAGTCAAGTTGCCCATCAGAGACTCCAACGGGCACGATCTGTTACATCAGGAGCAAGTTTTTCGCCCATTTTTAATGTCATCTATGACCACAGATGAGAAATAAAAAAGTATTGTTATTTGACAACTATTCACAGTTTCATCTCCCACAGTTAAAAAAAAAAAAAAAGATACAATCTGCTGAGTCAAAGCTATTGCATGTCATTTGCATTTATCATTAAAATAACATTTACTACTATGTTCTCAAAGCCAAATTACTCAACGAATTGCTGAATGTTTCCAAAGAAATGCTTTAATTAGTTCTTTATGCAAATATCAGTCTGCATATCTACTATTTCTATTCAGAATTTCTATTCAGAATTTAGCAAATCTGTGCAAAATACTGTTTGCGTTTATAACTTAAACAGAAAAGTGACTTTAAAAATTACATGTAATATGCCATAATTTATACAGATAATACTATCATATGTTTTTCACTTGTTAAGGTTCCCCTCCATATTGCATATAGTTCGTTTTTCCAGATTCTAATTCCAACCTTTCTTAGAACCAATTACTAAATTACTGTTTATTTATTGTATTGTATTTCTACGGCCAGTGACAATGAGTAAGAAACCAATGTTCTCATGTTCACATACTAATTCTTTAGGAAAATTTATGATGATAAACATCATCATTATCCGAATCACTTATCTAATTATTATCAGTTGCTGATCTGAAATCCTAGTGGCCTAATGTGCTTCAAATTTCAGAAATTTCCTTTTTTTAGAAAAGTAATCAAATATATTTTACACAAAACCCTCGGTAAGAAGCCGTGTCATTAAAAACAATAATATATCTGTAGAGAGATGCATGGAAATTCCCACTATGTGGCAAACGTGTGGGATATTTATAGACAGAGCAAAATATATACAATCTCATGTCTGTTCGAATAGATTTACCACTAAATATATTTGGGGCAAACTTACAAAATAACTTGGTTTGAATTTTCAGAGCTTTTAAGAATCAGAAATCCAACCTATATATTTCAAGTTTTAATACCTAAGATTGCTCATGAGACTAAATTCTGTAATTAAGCAAATGCATAACTGAGTATTATAAGAAATCCACAAATATATACCTAAGTGTTGAGTCCTATACCTTATGCTTTCCCAATGACTGCATCCAAAAAAAGGAAAAATATCTGAAGGGGATAATTAACATTTCCCATCAAACTTCGATCAGGATGAATATATCTTTACAACGGAAATAACAAAAAGCTGTCTAGTGACCCTTTACTCAGGGTACCAGTACATCTTTCTTCTTTAGCATATAAGTAAATTTAAACTCTACCATATTTCCCAGATTTAGATGAGCCAGACCTGTACAAGCAAATGCACACTGCTACGAATTGCCCATTTTACATTTTCATTTGACTCAAGTCCAATAGACCAACATATTCATTCTTTTGGACAGAAGAGCAAAACAGAACTCAATTGAAAAAAGAAACTCAAAATGGACAGACTTTTGATTTCACTCTCTAAAGGCCAAGCAAAGAATTCAGTTTTGGAAATTTGGAAAAAAATGTACATATGATCTTGATTTCACAGAGTGTTAGGTTGGAACAGAAGTCGGAAATCACCCAGTTGCACATCCCTTATTTTACAGAAGAACAAACATAAATTTAAAGAGACTCATTCAATTCCATGTGGAACCAGAAGCAGAGCCAGGTTTTCTGACATTTTCCTCCAAGTCACTCAGCCTCGTGATTTTTCACACTGGGCTTTTTTGCTATGGCAAGAAACTTCTGATTACTTTGTGACAAGATCTCATCTTTCTTGCTCAAAGTATTCCTGAACATACAGTCAACAGTGTAAAGTTTCTGCCCCATGTGAGCCAAACTTCACTGGATAGCCTGCCCTTGCACACTACTTCCTTGTCTTCTGATCGATATGCTTAAGTGTATACAGTAATTTCTTCATCTACTAACCCTCCCCTCTGATAATTATTAACAAAAGAACTTCTTATTCAAAAAGTATAAAATTATTTTCAAAGGAAATCACTTAAAATATAACAAAAATACCTCAATAATTTTTGGTTTTCAAATTCCATCAACTAAGGTACTGGTTCATATTAGTACATATATTCAGTTGCATCATATCAGCTCTTTTTAAGAACTGAGAATTGGTTTGTGATATGGTTTGGCTGTGTCCCCATCCAAATCTCATCTTGAATTGCAGTCCCCATTATCCACATGTGTCACGAGAGGGACCTGGTGAGAGGTAATTTAATCATGGAGGCAGTTTACTGCCTCCATGCTGCTGTTCTCGTAATAGTGAGTGAGTTCTTGAGACAGCTGAAGGTTTTATAAAGGAATTTCCCCCTTTTGCTCAGAACTTTTCTGCTGTCATGTGAAGATGGACATGGTTGCCTCCCCTTCTGCCGTAATTGTAAGTTTCCTGAGGCCTTCCCAGGCCTGTGGAACTGTGAGTCAATTAAACTGTTTTCCTTTATAAATCACTCAGTTTTGGATATTTCTTCATGAGAACAGACTAATACAGTTTGACATTTATAAAATTATATAAAATAACAAAAAAATTTGGTAAAACCTAGACAAAACCAAATCCTGTTAAAATTCTCCTACAATCTAAACTGAGAAGTCTAAATAATGAGTTTTTAAAATCGACTTCAATTTTAAAAGAGGAACTCTCTGAGGTGCTTGCCCTAATTAGTAGTGCACAAGCAAAAACACTTTCTAATATCTTAATGTATTTCTGTATGTGCTCACTTTAAGAAAGCACTTAAAATGTTTATTTGGCAGTGTTTGCATTCTCTAATGCATATAGCTCCCTTCTTTTCTCATTCTGTATTGTAAAAGAAATCTTGTTCAGCTAACTGACATTTAATAAAGGATAGAAAATGTTTCAAGGCCAAGCTTCATAGTCCTAATGTACACTTTTTTTTTCCTTTTAAAACCAATAAGTATTTTTATGTTTAAAGTCTGCAAGATGACAAGAAGGATACTGAAGTTGTCATCAGTGTCAAGAAGGAATCCAAATTTATCAGTAAGGAAGAGAAGGAAAAACATTTGAGACAGCTAATCTTGAAGATATGGATGGAAGATGCCTGCAGGAGATATTCACACCTAACTGAAAAGAAATAACTCAGAAAGAATAAGCTTTCTGAACTACAAGAAAAAAATATTTACTCCCAGAACACTCATAGACTTATTACAAAATGGACCATCTAACTGTTCCTTTTTTTTTTTTATTACAGGCAAGAATATTAAGGCCCAGAAGGGTCTATTAATTTGTCCTAGTTACACAACATTTGGTCAAGAACTTAGATCTCCTTTGGTCCAGAAGCCTTTCATTACATTTTATCATTTCAACAATTGTTTAATCTGTACAGTATATTTAATAACTCATCTGAAATCAATATAAAACAATTATGCAATTATTAAAGAGCCGAGTGTGAAGAAAAAGTTTTTCCCCTTGTATATTGTTTCCTTAGCAAAGCAACTTTTGTGTAAGAGGCAGGTCTAACTCCATTTGGCATTACTTTTGCAAATTGATTAGTTATCCAGAGTTCCTATAAAAATGAGATGGCCCTGTTGAAAATTATTTTTACTTAGTTGATAGTTACCAAAGCAATATGGGAGCAAAAATTTATCTAAATTTATTTTGTCAGGTGAAAGAGATTTTCACTTTAGAAGGGGAGCAATTCTCAACAACTACATATTCATATGTGTTCCATAAGACCAGACCACAAAATTGTCACATATTTAAGAAAATTTATAAGAAAAATGCTTAACTCTCAGTCAGTTCCAATAAAAATGAGCTAATAAGTTGTCTTTTCCTACATTAATACACATCTTTGATTTGTCTCATCACATTTTTAAGTATTTTTCAACGTTACACATGTTACCTCCAATATAAAATAAGGAAAATTTAGTCTAAAATCTTTAATATACATCATTTTAAGAGTGACATCAAAATTATACTTTATAATTACGCAACATTTTAAATTTTGATAGAAAAGTTATCAACTCAAAAATAACTAACTTCCTTGATATGAAAATACTTTAAATATTAAAATATTAGTTTTGCTTTCTCTTTGGGAAGTATTTCTAATATCAGGTAGTCTCAGGAAAGGAAAGAAAACAAATTCTGGGAGGGCAGTAGCTGACTTATTTGGATGCCAAAAAAAAGTCTGTGTAGTTCAAGAGCTGAGGAAGCTATGGGACCTTAATTTAAAAGTGTGCTTCCTAGGAAAACAGGACCCAACATAACAACAGATTGATAGATAAACTGCAAATTAGTCATTAAGTTGCACTCAGAATATCATAGAGAAAAAAGAAATGAAAATGATGTCAATTTTTAAAAATTGTATAAAAATAAATCAAAATGCTGTTAAAACTCTCAAAACTCAAAACGTTAAGATCAACAGAATCACTTTTTTGAGCTAATTCACAGATAAATTCGAGTCAGTCTAATTGCAATAGCATCAATTCATCACTTATGCCCAACTCTAAAATTATAATAAAGAAGCTTCCACAATGGATGTTGTCAATTAATAAAAGGAGCATGGTAATGACTTAGAAATATTCATTATAATTCACAGGAAATACTTAAGCCATCATTTACTTCTACCTAGAAAAATGACACAGAAGTAATCAATGCTGGCAGTGCCAAGGTCTTGCCAGTGCCAAGACCTTCCTTCTCAAACATGCAGCATCCTAACTCATTCTAGCAGTCACAAACATGACTCCAGGGAAGCCATTCAAAGTGCTGGTCACATTATGACTAAAAATACTACAAAAGGCAACTTTTAAAAGCACACATGAGAGGTTTTATAAATCTGACAAATAGGAAGCCCTTGAGAGAAATGACATTCACAGAGTGAAAAGAAGTGATAAGAAGCTGAATTCAAAAATTAACTCTCACCAGTCATTAGTAGTTGGTACTCACACATTTATTCAACCAATTATGGAGTAAATGATTATTGAAGATCCACTCTGTGCCAACACAGCTGGAAAGTCAAAATAGACAGGGGCCCTGAATTCAGGAAGTTTCTAGTCCGGCAAGGGAAAACACAATTAAAGTATCACCCAAATAAATGAAAATTACCGTTCTAATTTTCAACCCTGAAGGAGGATTATGTCATATATTGTGGCATCAAATAAGGGCCTATAAGTTGCCAAAGGGTACCAGGAAAGTTTCCTGCAGGATGTGATGATAGGACAAAAATAGGTTGATGAGCAAAAAAAAAAAAAATAACAATAATAATAATAATTGAGGAATTTGAATATGCCACCCTCATTCTTCAAAATTTTCACTTTTTCAGCCGTATAGTTCCAAATTAAATGGAGAATCCAAACCTCCCTTGAACAGATACTATGCTTTATTTCTCTATGTACTGGTAGCCCCTGGCACAGTGGAAGGCACAGACCATAACTGACCTTCACACATCTTGTCAATATTAACTGAAAACAAGCCTACGAGTAATGTACATTCACAGAGGTATTTTACTTTTGAACAATATAGTCCACATCTACCTCTGGCCAAAAGCTGGATCAAAGCAGTTGACACAGTACCTAAACAAAGAACAAAAATCTGAAAAGAGGGAAAAAGTTTGAGTGGATCCATGTCCATCTTTTCAAAAGAACACCAAGTCCGGGTGGGAAGTGGGAGCAGGAGTGAGGACTGGGCACGCTCCAACAACAGAAGGGAGTAGCTGGCACGCAGAAGCCAGGTCTGACTCACAACGTGTCTAAATGTGCCTGCAGTTCTTAGTACATGGAAGCATCTCAAATGTTCATCTAAAAAGTAGGGTGAAGGAAGTCATAAAAATACTACAGTTTTCTGCTGATAGGTAGAAAACTAAAGATAAAATGATTACCAAAAACGATTACCAGAGTTATGCACTGTCTCTCACAAAATACTACTATACTAAGGAATTGCCTGTGTTTTTCTCACAACCTTCAAAAAGACCCTTAGAAATCTCAGATGGTTTTGATTTATGACTATCAATGTCATCTTTACCAGATCACATGAGATGGTCTAGTCCTTAAAAATGAGAGAGTAGTTACTAATGACACACTCTTTGGGTTATTTGCACACAAAAGAATAATACAGAAAACAGAGGGATGTGTTATTCTAAAAGTCAAATTCCCTCTGCAGTATTTCCACCTAACCTTCCAAATAAAGGAGTCTTGCTTTTGAGGTAAGCAGAAAGGCCTGTAGCATGGGGACAGAGATGATCCACAGTTGTCTGGCCCTGGTCAGTCTTTTTTGTACCTGCATATGAGCGGCCTGCACAATTCCTGGTAGTTTTGCCTTTCTCAGAGAATACTGAATATTCTACATGAGACTAGGGTACAAAACAGCCCCCGAGGGAGCTTTCCCACACGGAGGTAAGGGAATTTCCTCAGTCATCGCTGTGCTCAGGCCAACTCTGATAAATCTCAGGGGATTTTTAATTGAGACATCACTGGCAATACACATGCTTTCTGGTGGTTATGATTAGCATTAGATGCTAATCATGTGGCTGAACAAGAAAAAGCAGCTTCCTCTCTTGGAGTTCATGGTCAGATCTGAGGCACTCCTATCAATAAAAACGTATTTGTAAAATGGGGGGAGAAAACTAAAGCTGGAAACGTAGCTAATGAACTAGATTACACATACATCCTCCATTGGATAGATTCTTACTGAACACCTTTTTTGTACCAAGCACTTAATTATGTCATTAAATAAAACACCATAAATTCACTGTTATTGTACAGTGGAGGAAACAGACTCCCAAGTTTAGAAATGCTCCCAAAGTCACTGTGCCACTCAGGGAATTAAAGTGAAGCTTTAAACCCAGGTCTGTCTGACACACAGCTAAAGTAAAAAAATAAAAAATAAAAATAATAAGTTGGGAGGAGGACAAGTTGTAACAACATGGCATAAACTGTGGAATAGCCAGATATAAAGCAATCAAGTTGTCAGCTTTCAAAAATGAGGCATCACAATACCATAGAGTAGGTGGCAGAACCGTAAACAACTCAGGCGCCAAAGGATGTGTCTATAGTCATGATTTGAAGGAAATCTTGTGTATATGCACAAAATTAGAAAAACTAACTTTGTATACTATCTAACATTAGCAGTGTTATTTCAGAACAGAAAGCCAACAGAGAAGAACATACTGATTATGTTTTAGAAAGACTATCTTAAGATCCAGCAGATCTACTTCTATTGCAATTTAACTAAACTAAGACAGTTGCTTTGGCACAAGTGTTGTACACTGTATAAACAATGGAAAATGTGGCCGGGCACGGTGGCTCAAGCCTGTAATCCCAGCACTTTGGGAGGCCAAGGCAGGCGGATCACAAGGTGAAGAGATCGAGACCATCCTGGCCAACATGGTGAAACCCTGTCTCTACTAAAAATACAAAAAAAAAAAAATTAGCTGGGTGTGGTGGCGTGCACCTGTAGTCCCAGCTACCTGGGAGGCTGATGCAGGAGAATTGCTTGAACCCGGGAGGTGGAGGTTGCAGTGAGCTGAGGTTGCGCCACTGTACTCCAGCCTGGCCTGGCAATACAGCAAGACTCTGTCTAAAAAAAAAGACAATGTCTGCCATGGAAAAAAACAATTAGCAAATTAAAAACTTATCTTTTAATTTCTGTTAGCTAGCCCACTACTTTTGCTTTAATTAACGGCCGTATTAGCACTGAACACATGAAATATGTTTGAATTTCACAGATACCCTAACTGAACATGCATTCATGTTAGGGAGCAATATTTAGCCAATACTTTCCCAGAATAACAGTGAGGATGTAAACATAAGATTTTTACTTGAAACTGTGTATAACTAAGTACTTTGCTAAAAGTACAAACAGATGAATAATTCACTAATTTCTGTTTCTTACTTTAGACATTAGCCATCATTTGATGGAACACAAACATTATGTAAGATGGTTCATGAAAAATGATTAAATTTATTTTACTGGTATTAAACTATTACATCAATAAAAATTAAAAGGCTAAGTACTTAAAACAATACAAATGTTAAATATATATATAAAAGAGTAAATTAATATATTGTGCAACCAACCTAAGTGCCCATCAACTAATGAGTGGACAAAGAATATGTGTTATACATATGTACACACATATATGTATACATGCATACATATATATATACACATGCATACATATATATACACACATACACACACAATGGAATATTACTCAGCCACTAAAAAGAAACAAAATAATGTGTTCTACAGCAACTTGGATGGCACTGGAGGGCATATTCTTAGTGAAGTAACTCAGGGGTAGAAAACCAAAAACCATATGATTTCACTTAAAAGTGGTAGCTGGCCAGGCACGGTGGCTCATGCCTGTAACCCTCAAATTTGGGAGGCCAAGGCGAGCGGGTCACTTGAGGTCTGAAGTTTGAAACTAGACTGACCAACATGGAGAAACCCCATCTCTACTAAAATTTTGTATTTGTAAAAATACAAAATTAGCCAGGCGTGGTGGTGCATGCCCGTAATCCCAGTTACTCGGGATGCTGAGGCAGGAGAATCACTTGAACCAGGGAGGCAGAGGCTGTGGTGAGCTGAGATCACGTCATTGCAATCCAGCCTGGGCAACAAGGGCGAAACTCCGTCTTACAAAAAAAACAAAATGTGAGAGCTAAGCTATGAGTATGCAAAGGCATAGAGAGTGATATAATGGGCTTTTGAGACTCAGAGTGGGAGGGAGGAAGGGGGTCTAAGGATAAAAACTACACATTAGGTACAATGTACACTACTCAGGTGACAGGTGCACTAAAATCTCCGAATTCACCACTATGTTATTCATTCATGTAAAAAAAAAAAAAAAACCACTTGTACCCCCAAAGCTACTGAAGTAAAAATTAATAAAAAGAGAGTATCATAATATAGTCTAAATTGTAATATGTATTGCTTTTACCAAAAAAATTTAAAAACAAATAACATAATTATAATACATTCCTTAATAAAAGAATAAATTGTAGACAGATGGCAGAAGAGGAAAGAATTCTCTTACATTTCACTATACATCATAAGCAGTCATTTCTGACAAATTGTGGAAACTCATCTACATATCAATTCACATAGCTGCAATTTTTTTTTCCCTGAACCAATCAACTTCTGTTTTCAGTAAAGAATAACCAAACTGATTTTTTTTTCCTTTGCTGTGCTGGCACATACACTGTGTCATTTAAAAGGAAATAAAGCAACACATTTGATTAGCTATAATTTATTTTAAATGCATCTACCGAAAACTTAGCAATTTGCATGCTTAATAAGGTAGGTTAAAGTAAAGAATCAATTTTCACACATATAATATAATTTCACTGAGCTATATTTATTTGTTCATTCCAAAAGCAGAAAGGAAAGGCATGTAATATAAACAGACAATCATATTTTCAAGAATGTCTACAGCTGGTCCTCAAGAATATTTATAGGCGTATCATTTGACAGTTAGATGTTTGAAGGAGAGGGTGCCTGTGGTCCAGCTACTCAGGAGGCCAAGTAGGGTGGACCACTTAAGCCAGGAGTTTGAGGCAAGCCTGGGGAACATAGCAAGACCCTATCTTTGTGAAAATAATTTTTTAAAAATTTAAACATGGATGTGTGCCTAAAGATAATTTTTCCAGGAGGATTTCAAATTCTCTATTTAATATTTAAAAGGAAAACTGAATTTCTCATCAAAATATCTTAGAAAATAATTTCAATGCCTCATGAATTTAAAACTTTGATCAAGTAGAAAACTTTTTAACAATTCTCGCTTTCCTCATAAAAGAATTTTTTTAATCTAATAAAGAATAGTAAAAAGCCTGTTTGTGGAAATCTGAAAATATTCCTCACCAATAGATAATTTTTTCTTATGTTTCCTTTTTTGTCACCTAGTTTTGCCTTTTGGTTTTCTTTCTACATATCTTCTAGAACTCGGTTTTTCTGCTAATTTTAAAAAGAGGTTTATCTAATGTCACGCAACAAGAAGGTGACAGAATTAGCACAAAAATCTAGTATTCATCCAGAACCAAACTTACCTAAATGAAATGAAGTACAAATCAACCATTGACTTCTTCAAGAAAAGAAAGGCCTCTTCTGGTCTTTGCTATCCAAACAATCAATCATATTAATATTGTAATTACTGTCATTATCATTACCGAAGTCTTGAGAAGGCAACTGTTTAATCTAGAAACTGAGAGACAACAACCTATACCTAGTAGAGGATACAATGAATTAAACACTGGAAAGATATTTAATATCTTTCCATTGCTTCCTAAGAAAGAAAAGACAGGACTTCACTCTGGAATTCTGGATTGAGTTTTGTAAAACATGAGATTTTCGATGTACCCAATTACAAATTTTTTTAATTTATCAAAAATTTATCATTCAAGACATCTAAAAGTTGATTCTCAAGATAAATAAATGTTTAGCTTACTACTAATATTTGCAAGTAAAGGAAAATCTATCACCATATGTAAGAGGCAAGAATACACTTTAACATTCAAGTGAAAAGGCTGGGCAAGAATTAATAACTCTTATCTTTAATCAGCAAATTATTTCAAATGGCATCTGAGAACTGTTCACTGTTGCCAAGCTGCATTACAGATCATCCCAGTAAGCAGTCTATAAAACAACACAATTAGAGAAGTTAATTATCTGCTGCAGAAATATTCATAATGTAGAGCGTGCTGAAATATCCTCTTGATGCTGGACTGTCCCAAATGTTCCTAGTGAGTACACACGTAGTATCACATTACAGGATTAGCAGAGAACTGGAGTCATACCAGATGCATAGAATCTTTTAGCATATCTAACATCCACACATGAAAACTTTAACAAAATAACTGTCAGCGATAACACTCTATCTTCACCAAGTCCCATTTCCATTTCCTCCAGGACACAACAGTTGGATTCCATGGGCCCAATGGTCTGAGAAGCACATGGTTTTTTGGAACAATTCTTATATGACATTAGGTAAATACTATCATAAACCTAGACTTCAGAAAATTAACACAATAAAGCTTCTTGTACACATCACATTATATGAAGAAGATTGGGGGACTCAGCTCCACACAGTCACTGAGGGATCCAGGCTTATTGACTGTTGTGTCCCACCATTGGCTAAGGCTTCATCCTCCTCTGCAAATTACAAGGGAAGCCGGGAAATGGAACATAGCTGTGCCCAAGGGGAAAGGGATTTGGTAAACACGTAGAAGTCTATACCACATCTTTTCACCTTAGTCATACATTTGGCTTACTATAAAATGTATTAATATTTACTTGGAAAACTCTTTCCTTAACTATCAAACTTCGATTTTCAGTGGCAGTGACAGAAACGAGAAATAAAAGGCAAAGAAAAACAGCTATATGTAATTATAAAGTAGATCTCAATAAGCCTGAAAACTTTCTCAAAAACAACTGTTTGGTCCAGCTGTCCTTCAACCTTCAAATATTATAATAAAACATTCACTAAGAAAACTGTAACATATTTTAACTGGACCCACAAAAAAAGGGAACAGCTTGGGCACAAAAAATAAAATTTGATTCATCTACTTAGTCATGTTTCTTAATATTATTACAAAGCTACAACATTTTTAGGGCATGATATAGATACAGAAGAACATAAAATATAAAAAGAAGAACAGAGTATCTTACAAGAATTAACTCTAAAAAGAAAGCAGAAAAAAATCAGAATTGTTTTAGCAGTTTTTTAATCAATACATCTTGCATACAAAGGCAAGAGTTCTTACCAACCAATAAGAACTTTTTCCTACTAATGAGAAAGCTCTTTTATGAATTCACTTTTCTGGCTAAAAAAGACACTAGTATTAATTGGCTAACATTTCATACTTCCAGGATAGCCAATTAATACCAAGACACCTCATCTACTCCTTCCCTAGTGGATGGGGTTCTTCTGTAAAACTGTTTGCACATGGCCAGGGGAGGGAAATGGGACCCTTGTGTCCTGTCTGAGCCATATGGAGGCAGGACGGTGTCACTGGAGGATGTGTCCTGCTCCATTGAGATGGATGGCAAACCCCATTTTTAAGTTATATTTCTTTGATTTTTGTTTAAATTTAGAGGTTTAGGTTTTGTTTTTTGTTTTTGTTTTTAAGAGAAACATTTATAACTGGATAGCATTGCAGTGAAAGCAGCTTGGGATGTTGGGGCTAATGCCAGCTGTTTATACTGCTCTTTCAAGACAGCCTCCCTTTATTGAACTGGCATTAGGGAATAAACAAGCCTTTAAACGTGATAAAAGATCAAAAACCTGGTTAGATATGCCAGCCTTTGCAGGGCAGGTTAGTCACCAAAGACTAACCTCCAAGCGGCTTTAAGGACACTGCATATAGAGAAGGCCTAAGTGTAGCAACCATCTGCTCATAGCTGCTATTAACCCTATAATGACTGAAATGACCCCTCCACTCTATTTTTGTGTTGTTTTTGCACAGACTCCGGAAAAGTGAAGGCTGCCAATCTGAGTAGTACTCAAATGTGAGGAACTGCTGATCTTGGATTTTTTTTCCATTAAATTCAGCTGATCATATTGATCAGTAGATAAACGTAAATAGCTTCAAATTTTAAAAGTGGAATTGCAGTGTTTTTTCACTGTATCAAACAATGTCAGTGCTTTATTTAATAATTCTCTTCTGTATCATGGCATTTGTCTACTTGCTTATATATTACATTGTCAATTATGCATTTGTAATTTTACATGTAATATGCATTATTTGCCAGTTTTATTATATAGGCTATGGACCTCATGTGCATATAGAAAGACAAATCTAGCTCTACCACAAGTTGCACAAATGTTATCTAAGCATTATGTAATTGTAGAACATAGGACTGCTAATCTCAGTTCTCTCTGTGATGTCAAGTGCAGAATGTACAATTAACTGGTGATTTCCTCATACTTTTGATACTACTTGTACCTGTATGTCTTTTAGAAAGACATTGGTGGAGTCTGTATCCCTTTTGTATTTTTAATACAATAATTGTACATATTGGTTATATTTTTGTTGAAGATGGTAGAAATGTACTATGTTTATGCTTCTACATCCAGTTTGTACAAGCTGGAAAATAAATAAATATAACGTAAAAAAAAAAGACACTAGTATGTTTAAAAATAAAATCTAAAGAGTTACAAGAAAGTGAGACAGGTTCAGCCACAGAACATCATCAATCTCATTCTGATAGTAAAGGCTGTTGCAGGCATACTCCACCCACCTGAATTAATCAGCCACAGAAAATGGAAGGCACAGAACAATACAATCGGTTATTTAGTAAGTCACAGGTCCTTGACTTTTGGAATTAAGAAAAAACATAGGAAGGGATGATTCACTGAATTGAATAGTCTCTCTCAGCTCTGTCAGTTCTGAACTCTGAGATAAATTACAGAATACATGAACTACAACAGAAGGCATAATGACTTCACGCTTCTTAAATAGCTGACCAATTTTTATATTCCAATAAGTCATCTCAAATATGGTAGCATTACAAATGCTAACTCTACTTGGGGTGAGCGGGGATGAAGCTGTCGTCTTCTGCACCCATTGGTGTCTAAACGACATGTTTTCTCAGAGGAGGCACTCACAGCTGCAGCCGCCTAATGAAAGATACACAAAGTGAGACAGACATTTCTTAAGAGCAGGGATGTGCCATTTGGAAGTTTCACACTGAAGGCTGTAAGAATACTGGAAATACTTTATCCCATCTCAGAAATATTTCATATGCACCCCCCTAAGGAGGGTAAAAAACCAATTATTTTTTACCTCAGGTGAATTACTTTAATTAGATCATTAGATGGCTCTTCTCCCCATATGTGCAGAGGACACAGGAGAAGATGTATCAGAACAAAGAAACAGGGCTGTCATGTATGGCCGTGCAGACTGTGCACTAAACAAGCGCTTCAGGCTGAAGGTTTCCCAAGAAGTGGCTAAGTTGTATTGTGCTCAGTAAGACTTGCAACCTACCACAGGTTGGTCTGAAAGAAGAGATATTGTTTTCCCACTTCCAAAGATTCCATGTCAAATAGCTAGGATGAGGGGAAGAGAAAGAGGAAAGGCCATCTCAAGAGCATGGTGTATTGCAAGGAAATGCAGAATTCTGTGGTGTCAGGAGTTGGATGGTATGGCAGATACCACTTCTTGACCCCAGTGTTTATTTACGTCTTTTTCTATAAAAACCTGATGTTTAGCTTAGAATATGGTGCACTGAATCAAGACTATATATCCCAGGTTCCTCTGCTCTTAAGATATAATTAACTTCTGGCCAGTATGGTACAAAGAAAAGTATTCTGCAATAGCTTCTAGGATCTTCCTTTCAGAGGCGGCTGGCAAATGTCTCTGCCACCTTCTTCTTCCATTCTTCCCTTTTGTAAGAAACAGGGATATCACCCAGGGCCATAAGGAAGAGGTGAGCTGAAATGGACTGGGGGTCACTGAACAGACTGATCAGACCAGGCCTGAAAGGCCTACATGAGAAGGAAAACACTTCTCATTTAGAGTGATGTTGTCACCAATTTTTTGTTATTGCCAAAAAACTATGATGTGAAGACACTGGAGTTTTAAGAACTGAGAACACACAGAAGGAGATAAGAGGGGCCCAAAATGCACTACTTCTCAAATCCGCACTGAATGCAAACTGCTGCCGTGAGTCAGACCTTGACAGTGATAAATCAAATGTCTCTTCATGTAAGCAATGCAAAGAACAATATAAGGATGCTTTTATTGTATACGGAGAAATAAAGGAAGATTTCCTAAACATACTACTTTTGAAAGGTTATCCACCAATGAAAATTAACATTTTGTGGTTGGTGGGACTCATAACAAGGATAGAAACATTCAGATTTTTTTTTAATTTTGCCTGAGGATTTTATGTTTTATAACAATTACACTGACAAGACACTACAGGTTCTGTTAAGTCTTTTAGAAGTTCAATTAACAGCATGAAACTGATCAAGGATAGACTTTGACTTTTCACAATGAAAATCATTTCTGAAGATGTACTGCATGTTTTGTTACCAAGGGGTATTCTTTCTCTGGAGAAGCTGTGAAAATATTTCTTTTTATAATTTCTCTCTTTTCTCTTTTAAACTACCAAACTTCTAAAAGACAAAGGAAGCCACAGATTTTAATGTGATTTCTCTTAAAACCCACAACACAGGAGCCAAAAATACCAAGAATATTTGGATGGAATAGGGAACCCAGAAATAAATCCATGCATTAACAGTCAGGTCATTTTTGATAAAGATGCCAAGAACATACAATGGGGAAAGGGCAGTCTCTTCAATAAATGGTGCTGAGAAAACTGGATATCTGTATGCAGAAGAATAAAACTAGACCCCTATCTCTTGCCATACACAAAAATCGAGTCAAAATGAATTAAAGACTTAAATCTAAGACCCGAAACTATAAAACTACTAGAAGAAAACACTGAAAAACACTCCAGGACATTGTTCTGGGCAAAGATTTCTTAAGTAAGACATCAAAAGCACGGGTAACCAAAGTAAAAATGAATACATGGGATCATATCAAGTCAAAAAGTGTCTGCACAACAAAGTAAACCATCAACAAAGTAAAGAGACATACAACAGAAAGGGAGAAAATATTTGAAAGAAAATATTTGGAAACTACCCATCTGACAAGGGATTAATGTCCAGAATACATATGGAGCTTAAACAACTCAATAAAGAAAGTCAAACAATCCAATTAAAAAGTGAGTAAAAGGTCTGAACATTTATTTTCAGAAATGTCTGAAAAGAATTTCTTAAAAGAAGACATACAAATGGCCAACAGGTATATATAAAAAAAAAGTTCCACATCCCTAACAACCAGAGAATTGCAACTCAAAACTACAATGAGTTACCATCTCGCCCCACTTAAAATGGCTTTTATTGAAAAGGCAGGCAATAACAAATGCTGGTGAGGATGCGGAGAAAAGGGATCCCTTGTACACTGTTGGTGGGAATTAGTACAGCCACTATGGAAAAGAGTACGGAGGTTCCTCGGAAAACGAAAGATACAACTACCGTATGATCCAGCAATTCCACTGATGGGTATATATTCAAAAGAAAGAGCATTAGTATGTCAAAAAGATATATGCACTCCCATGCTTACTGCAGCACTATTCACAATAGCCAAGATATGGAAGCAACCCAAGTATCCATCAGCAGACAAATGCATAAAGAAAATGCGGTACATACGCACAATGGGGAACTATTCAGCCATAAAACAGGAAATCATGTCATTTGCAATAACATGGATGGAACTGGAGGACATTATGCTAAGTAAAATCAGCCAGTCACAGAAAGACAAAGACTGCATGTTCTCACTCATGTTGCAGCTGAAAAAAATTGAACCGAATTACTGTTGGCACATCTTCAGGGGGCAAAAATTACATATATAATTGTATGTATATATACATATATATACACATACATACACACACAACGTGCACACACACACACACACACACACACACACACACACACGTATGCTTTCTCCATGGTTTTAAAAGTGTCTTCTATTTAGTCAATAAGACATTTATAACTTTTATCATGAAGTCATTACACAAGATTGCTTCTTAGGAGGAAATTATAAAGTCAATTTACCTGTATTACTTTCTAAGTTTGATGCACAAAAAATGTTTTATAAAAATTCTTATCTAATGTCAAATTCTCAGGATATGAATTTTCAACTGGTCACAACTGTGTAATTCCTTGATTATATTCTTACCTCTTCAACTTCACTTGTGAAATTTTTTAAAATTCCCCTTATTTCTTGGATCATTTCCATTAGCTTCCAAACATACTCTAGTATAGCCAGCACTCCAGTGTAATCTATTTTCTCATATAATCTAGTGTAATTTTTCCAAGCTACTATGCTATTTCTCTGTTCC